AAGAAATAAGGCAAGGAACAGAGAGCTGTGTACCCCTTTCCTATTCCATTCTCCTACCCCTGCCCCTTAGCCCTGGGCTGACTTCCCATGCTTCCTATGGTCCGATTCTTGGGACCTGCTTCCTGAGCTCCAATCACCACCGCCCACTTCTCTGCGTTTCTGCATTCCGGCTGAAGGATCACTGCTTCCTCTTGGGCCCCCACCTCCCTGTGAAGAGGAGGGGAAAGCCCGACTGCCCACTCTCTCAATGGCACTGCCCACTGTCTCCATGACTGCTCCCTACAGAGGCTGACGCTGACCATGGGCAGGCCAGACAGAAGAGCAAGGGCTCCTCCCCCATGGGCCAGGCAGCTCCAGACATTCCCTCACGGACTCCCCACAATGTCTCGCATCACCATTGTCCCTGATCAACAAGAAAGGAAACCAAGCAAAGGAGCTGCCCACTGCCTGGCGGCACAGAAGCAAACTCCCTCCCTGTTGCAGAAAAGCAGCCGCGGGGACCGCTTCCACTCCAGACGGCCAAGCACTGCTGGCCAGTGGCGTCAGCCCTGCGGTTTGCAGGGTGGGCTCACCCCCGTGCCTTACACAGTTAGCTTCTGTTTGCTCTTCCTGAAACCAAAGCTTCCCAAACTTATTTGTACAATTAAGGGGAATAAAGAAAACCCAAAGAGCATGAGATGAGGCTCTAATGTCTTCACCCCTTCAATCCTCTTTCAGTTTTGTTCATTTAGATGTGCGTTTGCAGTCAGGAGACCTAGATTCTAGGCCTGGCCTCCCTGCTTGTAAGCATGTGACCATGAGTAAGCCCGTCCCTTCTCCTCCCAAGGCCTCTGTTTCCACATCTGTAAAATAGACATAATAATATCTTCCCTGCCTGCTCCCCAGGGGGTGTTGTAGGGATTTCAGCAGATAATGGGAGTAGAAATGTTACGGCACTATCTGCATCTAGATATTCTCCATATTCCTGCATCTTTGGGGGTCCGGATGATGAGGGCTCTGGGGAAGCTCCGTCCCTAATGCCCAGATCCTTGGACATGACCTTTAACAATCCCCACAGTCACCAGCTTTGTGCAGAAACCTTTAATGATTTCAAAGCATCCTCACATTCCTGAGGCAGCTGATAACAGCTAAAATTAATCCTACTTAGTATATGCGAAACCCTGTGTCGAGTATTTTCTATTCTTTCTTGTATCATTAAAATAATTATGTATGATAAGTGTTATTTTTAATTAATCAGTTTTATCTTTGTTTTTGTAAATCGTACCCTTAAATATAAAACTGATGTGCTGGTATTGGTCTTATCCCAAAGAAAACCAGATAGTCAACACCAGTTCAGAAAGCAGCACAGGAATAGATGAAGTATAAAGGTCAATGGGAGAAAAGCATGTTCTTAATAACAAGATGGGACGTTGTCCTTTTCTACAGATGTTGGGGAAAGGTAGGCATTATTGCCCCCATTTTATAATTGAGCAAACTGAGGCTCAGGAAGGTGAAGTAACGTGCTCAGACCCACACAGTCAATGAATGAATGATATAAAACCAGAACTCGAGGCGAAGTCTCACTAACTCCAAAGTCCGTCTTCTTCCCACCACACTGCAGCTTGCCTCCATTATCCCAGCCTGCTCTTAGCCTCCTCAGACTCCATCCTTCCTTCCCACAGCCACAAGGCTGATAAAAGTTTTGGATCATGCATAAAAGCAAAAATAACACTCAGGGTATTATTACCCAGTCTCCCTTGAAATTAGGTGTTTGGAGGGTAGGTTAGGGTGGGGATAGAGGTTTGTGGGTGGGGTAAGAGATGAAAATCCGACAAGGAGAGAAGTATTGAAATGGTCAACAAGAACACTCCTAAAGCCCTGGCCGGTTTTGCTCAGCGGTTAGAGCATCGGCCTGCGGTCTGGAGAGACCCGGGTTTGGTTCCCGCTAAGGGCATGTACCTCGGTTGCAGTTTGTCCCCAGCCCTGGTTGGTCGTGCGGGTGGCAGCCACTTGATATGTCCCTTTCACATCGATGTTTCTCCCTCTCTCCCTCTCTTCCTCTCTCTCACTCTCACTCTATCTGTGCAAAAAAATGGAAAAATGTCCTCGGGTGAGGATAAAAAAAAAAAAGAACACTCCTAGGAAAAGTATATTGATACTGCAACATTCTGGGCACAACTCAATGTAAATTAATCTAATAAACATTACTGAGTGCCTAATACATGCTAGTACTCAGGCTACCGTGCTCAGGTGTGGTTTCTGTCCTTGATATACGCTTGGCAAATCCGAGTTCATGGAATGCTTTTGTCAAATACTTAAAAATTAGAACCAAAAACTAAAAAGATATAAAGCTAACAGTGATATTTCGCACACCTAAACAGGAACCGGATAAAGGGAGAGGGGGAATCAGAACTGGGGCTGGCCTTACTTAGTAAACTCAGCCTGGTATTTGTGTGCCTGTTGGGGAAAGCCTGGCAGAACCACAGAATTTAAGAAAGTGGTGGGGTGGGGAGGAAGGTCATCTTTGGTTCGCTGCGCAGTCTATGAGGGATATTGAGGATAGGATCCTTTTATTCACTTCCTCCCAACACTTAACATGAATGGGAAAAGGCAGAGGTCTGGAGAACTCAAAGCACTAGCCTGAATAAGGCCCAGCCATTTGGGGCTGACCTAGCTAAGGAGTCAGAGACAACACTGTGTACGTTCCTTAGTCCTGAGAACCTTCCCTATAAGCTTTCCTCCTGTCAGCCTAGGACCTATTGGAAAATCAAGCAGGTAGCTTTACCAGTTATAGTGGATTGAGGCTACCTAGTCAGTAGCTGGAAAAGCGAGAAAACAGCATAGATGTTTTAAAAATAAAAATGCAACCTAACATTTCTACACTGTCTTACAGTTTACAAAGCTTTGGCATCTACTATCTCATCGACTTAGATTTGATTCTCAGAATGACCTATAACATAAACAGGTGTTATTATTTCAATTTTAGATGAGAAGACAGAAATCCAGATAAATTAGTGTTGCCATACTGGTATGTTATGGAAATTAGGAAATATGAACAGGGGTACTTCCCTGAGAGCATTGGGAGAACATATCAGGGAAGGCTTTCTGGAGGTGATCCAAGTGCTGAGTAGAATATGTACTAAATAGATAAAGAAAGGGAAATTCCAGGTAGGTGACTTCACAAAGGCTGGAAAACACAATGAAGAGGGTGATGATTATGATGGTGACCATAATAGTAGCTAACACTTATCTGTGCTCACTAAATGCAGATACTCTTAGAACAGATACTGTTCCAAGCTGGTACCTACATTGATTCTCCCACCTACCTTGTTAGGTAGATGCTTTTATTTTCCCCATATTGCAGATGAGGCAACTGAGGCACAGAGAAGTTAAGTAGCTTGTGCAAGGTCATATACAATTTTGTGTGCTAACTTGAGTAGTATGAAGTTAATCCTAGGAGCCAAGAGCACCTTCCACTCTGTGCCCAAAGGGTTCTCAGCAGAGGAGATGGGGACAGATTTGAGATTTAGAAAGCCTTCTCTGGGGGTTGGAAAGGAGAAAAGAAAATGGATCCTGACTAGGCTAAGAACCTGAACAGACTAGTGGGCATAGAGAGCAGAGATATTCCCACAACACCTGATGCTTGTTGTTAAGAAACTGCAAAATTGAACCCCCCACCCCCATCTCTGCTTTCTCTACCCACAAAGGGAGAATAATATATTTCTGCCTATCCCCTCAGGAATTGCTCGAAAATTGCTTTCAAGTGTTAAACAACAGCCTTGGACTACTGCTGGTGTTCTTTAAATTCTGAACATATAAACTGCCTTGGCAGAGGAGCTGGGAATAATTATAGCTTGTTAATTATTGTTAATCGTACCAAAGCTTTGAAACCTTGGACTTTCTCAATGATTCAAAAAAGAGACTACAACCCCTCCATCCCATTAAAGTAGCCACACAGTGGCAGACAAGAAATTTCCCACAGGCTCCATTCTTTCATTATTTGTAGTGGTTCAGCTTCTTACATGGGACACAGAAAAAGAAAAGCAATGATTTACTCTTTTAGAATCAAATTGTATAAAGAACTCCTTATACTCTTGCTGGTTCTTTTTAAAAATGTGTTCCTTTTGGTCTCCCTATACTGAGTACATGCATAAATATTGTGTTATGTGTGCAGGAAGGGGAAAAAGTGGTTAACATAATTTATACATTGGACATCAGCACACCTAGGTTTTACCCATCATCCAGTAACAGAACTGCTCCCCAACCTTTCTTCAGATCTGTACCACTCCTTTTCCATAAACATTTAAGGTCTCCTAACAGCCAAGAGGAGAAGCCAAGACCCCCTCCCAGGAATCTGAGGAAATTGATGGCTGGGCCACTTTAAGTCTCCAAACCTTAAACTGCATCACCTATAAAATGGTTCCAATAGAAGGTCCATACTTGTCGGGATTGGTGAGGATGAGATACCGTAAACCATATAAATGTGTGCTATTACGAGAACTGGGGAATAAAGAGGGAGTGAGAGAACTTACAGCCGGGATAGGAGATGGGAAAGGGAGAGAGAAAATGTGTTGGAGGGAATAAAAGCAGGACAGTCCTGCGATACTTGATACTTTTCAATGAAAGTCATGAGAATTTCAGGCCAGGAGAGCAGCCAGGATGCCCAAGGTGTTACACTAGAAGCCGCGCCAAGGGCGGGCCCCTCCCCAGGTTGGGCCGGCGGGTCGGAGGCGGGTCCAGGCAACCAGCAGGTGAGTATCGGTTTTCTTCTGTTGGGCTTTCGGTCCAGAGGAGGCGGGGTCAGCCTCCGCTCCCCTGATCCTATGGCGGGCGGCGCAGGGCGGGCTGCACCTTCTGGAGGACGAGGTCGCGGGGGGGAGGGGGGTTAGGTGGGAGGGGGGTTGTGCAGGATGTGTCACCCAAATACCAGAGGGTGAGTTGGCGGCGAAACCAGCTGGGCAGGTCCGGCGGAGTATAAGAGCGGGAGGGAGCGGCCCGCCGCAGACGCCTGGAGACTGTCCCAGACCTCGGTGCCGGAGTCCAGCACAGCCCCAGCGCCCGTCCGCCCGCGTCCCGTCCGCGCACCTCGGCCCCACTATGGCTCGGGGCCCGGGCTTCGCGCTGCCGTCGCCACCAATGCCGCTGCTTCTGCTGCTGCTACTGGCGGCGGTGACCGGCCAGGCTGCCGCACAGGACAACTGTACGTGTCCCACCAATAAGATGACCATCTGTAGCCGGGACAACCCAGGCGGCCGCTGCCTGTGCCGTGCGCTCGGCTCCGGCTTCGAGGTCAACTGCTCCACGCTGACTTCCAAGTGCCTGCTGCTCAAGGCGCGCATGAAAGCCACCCAAAGCGGCCGCAAGCTGGTGCGCCCCAGCGAGCACGCGCTCGTGGACAACGACGGCCTGTACGACCCCGACTGCGACCACGAGGGCCGCTTCAAGGCCCGCCAGTGCAACCAGACGTCGGTGTGCTGGTGCGTGAACTCAGTGGGCGTGCGCCGCACCGACAAGGGCGACCAGAGCCTGCGCTGCGACGAGCTGGTGCGCACTCACCACATCCTCATCGACCTGCGCCACCGCCCGGCGGCCCGCGCCTTCAACCACTCGGACCTGGACGCCGAGCTGCGGCGGCTCTTCCGCGAGCGCTACCGGCTGCTCCCCAGGTTCGTGGCGGCGGTGCACTATGAGCAGCCCACCATCCAGATCGAGCTGCAGCAGAGCGCGTCGCAGAAGGCCCCCGGCGACGTGGACATCGCCGACGCCGCCTACTACTTCGAGAGGGACGTCAAGGGCGAATCGCTGTTCGCCGGCCGCAGCGGCCTCGACGTGAACGTGCGCGGAGAGCCCCTGCAGGTGGAGCGGACTCTCATCTACTACCTGGACGAGAAGCCGCCCCAGTTCTCCATGAAGCGCCTCACGAGCGGCCTGATCGCTGTCATTGTGGTGGTTGTGGTGGCCCTCGTCATTGGCGTGCTCGTTCTGGTGGTCACCAACAGGAGGAGATCCGGGAGGTACAGGAAGGTGGAGATCAAAGAACTGGGGGAGTTGAGAAAGGAACCGAGCCTGTAGGTGCGGGCTGGGCAGGGCGTGGTAGGGTACGGGATTCTAGCAGGTCTCCTAAACCAAAGTGAGTCATGCTTCTTGATTCTTGGTCCAAAGGAGATATTTCTCCTCTCAAATTCCTCTCTCTCCGCATCCCACCAAGTTTGATAGATCCTGGTCTCAGAGTCACCTCTCTTTGTGACTTCTGCCTTGAAGTAAGCATTTCTAAAATGCTTTCCCTTTCGGTCTAACAAGAAACCTGACTCGAAGAGTTAAGAAAAATCTGGCATAGGGTTATGTATGAGAATCAAGTGTCTGTGTGACAACCCACCATCTTTACAAGTGACGCCATTGAAGGCTTGAATGCGTTTAGATGGGAAGCAGCGCTTTTACTGTCTTGGGTTTAAGTTATCTGATTAGCTCCACTTGGCTCGAGGCCTTCCAGATGAGGAATTTGCCAATGGAGCCGGTGTAGTATCAGCGCGTACCGTATCTTGCATTGCTGGTCACACGTTTGAAATCGGGAAAGAAGTCTGGTTCAGCTGCCTGAACACATTTTAGATGTCTTTGTTTGTTGCCAGACTCTGCCCGGAAACTCAGCGTCTAGTCTTCAGCTCACCCTTGTTATTGCCGATATTAGTAATGTTTCTTTTGTAAAATGTTTGTACATATATGTTGTCTTTGATGATGCTGCTGTGATTTTTTTTTTAAAAACACGAAGTTAATAAAATATGGGAAAGGCACAAAAGATGGAGTTGGTGGAAACTTGCTCCAGATTTCTATCAGTTTGGTCTCCTTTGTCTTATTTCCCACGACTCAGATTTCCTATTTTAATTCTAACTTTTTTTTTTTTTTCAGAAGCGGGCACTTTATATTTTTATTTTGGTAAACAGCAGAGATATATTAACAGGATGGTACAATTACTGGTTTTTCTAAATAAGATTATTTGGAAACCTCCCTCATACTGCTGGAGGGTGGGTCTGAGGGAGGAGGCTAGAACTAGATGCTATTGTTGGGAAAGAGGACCAACCTTAGTTTATTTCTAATCAAGAATTCTTAAGTGGAAAAGGGAACCTTTTTCAAGGAGTTGTATCTGTTTTGAATCCCTTGCCCTATTTGGAAGGAGGTGGTACTATTCCCATTTAGCCCTTGGTGATTTACTTAATCCCCAAGTACTGTGGCTCTGAGAAAGGTAAATGACTTTCCTACACCCTTATTGCCAGTCTGTAGAGAGCCCTATGTTGTGGCAATGTGTGTGTGTGCCAAGATTGTTTGCCTAAGATTTCACTAGCAATATGCTTTAAAAATGTTTACTTCTTATTAGCTGTAAAAACTAGCAACTTCTCTCCTTTACACTTATCTTGTTTTCAGCCATTCACTTTCATGTATGTGATGCTGAGTGTGCTAGAAGGTCTCTGTGGGGTAGCCCATGGGCAAATAGGTTGCCGCAATTCCTGAGAAATTACTGCAACAATGGGCATATAACAAAGAAGGAGAGATAGGTATGACTATTAGCAGATAGCTACATCTAGGACTTCGGTTTCTTGCCCTCGAATCAGTCTTCTGTTTCTCCTCCCACCCTTGCGGTGTCTGTGATCTGTGCCTACCCTTCAAGACTGGAACATGGGTTAAGAACTAGGGGGAAGTGGATCTCAGCCACTGCCTTCACAGCTGGGCTGGGGCTGCTGTGGGCTGGTGGAGTGGATACTTTATTGCCAGAGATCTCTCTGTCTGTAACCACTCCTGCTTGTAGGCTCCAAGTGTTCTCTCAGGCTCAGATGGGGCTTAGCAAGGGCAGAGGGTGGAGGTGGTCTGGCTTCCCCACAATGGGAAGGATGGCTGAAGTATGCAATGTGAAAATGGGAGCTGTAATAGTGACAGTGAAACTCCACTCTCGCTCACTTTATGCTTTCTGTTTCTCTGAGTCATTGAAGTGCCATAGCTAGAGGGACCTTGGCAATCACCTCTAACCCTTCATTTTACAAAGGAAAGGGTGAGTGACTTCTCAAGATTAATGTTTCTGTGGCACAGCTGGAACTAAAAGTCTTTTGATTTCTAGTCCAGTCTTCCTCCCACTATCCAGGCTGCCATTATTTCAAGAGTCACTTCAAAATAGTATCTCTTGACTGCCTAGAATATAAACAAATTGTGGTTCAAGTGGGAGTTTGAGCAAAGGGAAAGCCCATTCCATTGTCAGAATATCACTTCTGGATGATTTCTACATTTCTGCATTAATTTGGGACTGTAAGTCCTTGCACTTGATCGCAGTTAGTAGTTCACAAAGCCCTTTCCTGGGTTTCATCTTTGAGACATTGGCTTACTGCAAATAACCCAAGTGTTGACAAACTTGAGTTCACGTTCTATTTCACTGGGCCAGCTTAGTCACTTAACTCTCCTCAGTTCCTCCTTTGTTGAATGAAACTACAAATCTCTCTTAAATGACATCCTTGATCAGAGTGCCTGGGGCAATCTGGACACAGTGCAGTACATCTTAAATTTTCTTCTCTTCTATAAATTATGTTAATCTCCTATATCAGAAAACTGAGGTCCCTAGAGGTTGAGTAATCCATGGTCACATAGCCTCCATGTGCCAGAGCCAGGGTTTAGAAACGTTGTTTTTGGTTTCCCAGCCTACATTGTTATCCCATGCACCAAGCAGGCTGAATACCTTTCATCTTTTCTTTCTTTCTTTTTTTTTATAATCCTCACCTGAGGATATTTTTCTGTTTATCTATCTTCACATAGAGTGGGAGGGAGGGAGAGAGAGAGAAACATCAATGTGAGAGGGACACATCCACTGGTTGCCTCCTGCACGATCCTGACCAGGGCCGGGGATGAACCACAACCGAGGTACATGCCCTTGACCAGAATTGAACCCAAGACTCATTGGTCCATGGGTGGACGCTCTAATCACTGAGCCAAACTGGCCAGAGCTGAAACAGCTTTCTTATTCCCTTCTTCCAAAGAAGAGCCCTCACACTTCTGTATGGGAACTCAGCTTGCTTGTGCTGGGGACAGGCCTATCCAGAACTCTCCATGGGCTTAGCCTCCACCTCCAGGATTTCCCCTCAAAGCTTCCATTCGCTGCATTGTGTTCAGGGCTGGAGCTGCCCTCAGAAGGAATGTGAGGGGCAGGCATGACTGACCAGCCAGTTACAGCTTGTCTTTTGAGCCCTGAGGCTAATCTGATTTCCTTGTTTTGGTCACCGGGGCTTTCTCCACTCTGGTTATTTCCTTAATCGGGGCAGTTTTTAAAATCACACCATTTCTTTCTGCTTATATATTTTTGGCTTCACTATTTTCCAGATAGAGTCACAGAATGTCAGAGCAGGAAAGAGAATCATTTTAATCCAAAACTCTACCCTACAGATGAAGAAAGTGAGGCCCAGAGAGGAGAATGGATTCACCCAAGCCAGGCAGATAGAGATAGAGGGACCCCAGAGCTCCTGTACCCTGACTTCTATCTTGTTTAATGTTTGTCACACTTGTCTCCCTAGTTAGTCTCCTGTTTATTCTAATTTTTTCCTTGATCATGTCTGTTCTAAATTGTGGGGGTTGTTCTTTAGCTTTTCTATTTCACTTCAATGGGAGACATACCTTGGTTAAATGTAAATGTATGAGCTTTGAAGTTACCTGGCCATTTAGACTCCGGTTTATTTATTTATTTATTTATTTATTTTTTTTTTTATGAATTTTTATTTATTTATTTGTTACAGATATTTTACCTTTTTACCCCATTGGCACCCCCCACCCTACCCCCCCCTCCACCCTGTCCCCGGCTTAGTTGTCCATGTCCATTGGTCATGCATACATGCATATAAGTTCTGTGGTTTATCTCGGTTTTTTTTATTTGTAAAATAGGTAGAGGTTTAACTTACATGCTTGATTTTTAAAGATTAGATATAAGATATAAAAAGACTGAGTAAATATTTCCTTAATGATCACTTGTGTTGGAATGACAGGGAGGCCCCCAAGAACCTGGAGCAAGGGGATAACTGCGAATGGTTGGACTCTTGAATGCAATGTGAAGAGTTCTTCTCCACTTTTTAAAGGAAACAACTCTTTCCCTAGACTTCTATTAGGGGGACTAGAACAGCCCTGGAAGCCACCATTTACAAAGGAGGAGCCACAGCCCACCTGGCCAATGCCAAGTGGACACTCAACTGTGATGTGAGAAAGAATTTTTTTAAATTATATTATTACTGCATCTCTGTAATAGTATTTTATTTCAGTATACTCTTTTATTCTAACTAGTATGAGTGGCTATATTATCATTCCCGTAACAGATGAAAAAATTAAGGCCCCTAAAGTTAAATTACTTGCCTGTAGTCATACATCTAATAAGTAAGTAACACTTTTGGGATTAGAACCCAAGCAAATGGGCCCTCAAATCCATGTCCTTAACCAATGTGCTATACTGCCTTATAGAATTTGTAAATTTGCAAGACAGTATATTAGTTTTTACTAGTGTAATATAGCAATACATTTTATTAATCTTACAGTTCTCTAAGTCAGGAGTCCCACACAAGTCTCATTGGACTAAAATAAAGAAGTGTGCAGGGCTGCATTTCTTTCTGGGAATGTTAGGGGAAATTTTCGTTCTTACTCATTCGGGCTGTTGGCAGAATTCTGTTCCTTTATGGTTGTGGGTCCAAGATCGCCCTTTCTTACTGGCTGTAAGGCAGGGCGTTCCCAGCTTGTAAAGGTGGCCCACACTCCTCAGTGTACAGCCCCTTTCTGTCACCTTCGAAGCCAGCAATGGCAAGTTGAGTCCTCATGTTGTATCTCTCTGACTGTCCTTCTGTTGTCCCATTTCTGGCCCCAACTGGGAAAGGGTCCTCCGTTGTGAGAACTCATGTGGTTAGGTTGGGTCTACCCACATAATCCAGGATAAGAGTATCCTCTCAAAGTCTCTCACCTTAATCATATCTGCAAAATCCCTTCTGCTGTGTCAAGTAACATATTCACCAGCTCTTGCTGTGGGCATCTTTGGTGGGGAAGAGCATTAGTGTGTCTACCACACAGAGAATGGCCCCTAATCCATGCTCTTAACCAACTTACTATGCTGTCTCTGTAGAATTGCATGTCAGTATCCATTCTCATATTTAGTTAAAAAAGAGCTTTTTCTCTCACGGTTCTCTCCTCTATCCCTTTTGAACAAAGCCTTCCCAAGGAGGAAAATATGCTCTTGGGAGAATTATTACTCTATCCCACACAGGTTTGAACAGGGTGTCTGGTAACTAATAAACTCTCAGAAAAGTGTGTTGAATTGAACTGATACCAATGGCTGCCACCTGTTCAGCCAGCGATTTTCAACTGCTGTGCTACAAAAATGTTTAAAACATCCAAAGCCTCACTATTTAGTCAGGGGCACTGACTTCTTTTTTCTTAGATTGTCAAATAAAAAAAATGACAACAGCCAACACAACAACAGCCATCCAGTGTGAAAGGATCAAAATTCTACCTATTTTTTTTGTCAGATCTGAAAAAATATAACATTTTTTGGTGTGCCGCAGAATTTCAGTAATTAGTTTACGTGTGCTGTGCCATGAAAAAAGTTGAACATCTCTGTATTAAGCACACAGGATGTGCCCTACAACTTTAACCTGATTACTTCATCCATTTCACACCAATCCCTGAACATGAAGGAACGTGTTCTGCTATTCCTGTTTCACTCAGGAGGAAACCAAGGTGTAAATAAATGACTTGCCAGAAATCACACAGCTAGTCAGGGGTACAGCTGGAGTTCAAACCAGGACTGCCTCCTCTGAGCCTGAGGCTTTAC